TGGGGAGGAAATTGGAGGGGAGCTGTTGCATTGTGGTAAACTGTGGTCAATGACATGAGACAAAGTATATGTGAACTGCTGTATCGAGAGTGAACTTGCTCTGTAAATCTTCACCCAAATCTAAATAAAATAAAATTTAAAAAAATAAGTAAATAAATAAACAATACCACCTGTGAGGAATGTAATCCCTTAAACTATCAAATATATGAGACTAAACAGTCAATATTTACCCAAAAGCAAAGATGAGAAGGCAAAGACAAGCAGGGAAGTTAGATCAATGGAAAAAGGACAGAAAGGAAATAATGAAAATGCTGACACATTGTGGAAACTGTTACAAACATCACAGAACAATTTGTGTAAGAATTGTTAAACAGGTACCTGATTTCTATGCAAACTTTCAGCTAAAACACAATAAAGTATTTTTTAAAAGAAAGTAAACAGTATCAAAGACAGGATATGCCAATAGTCAAAAAGTACACTGTTTTGTCTGCATGGTATTATAGAACTTGAGGCCAAACTACTTACTACCTTACCTTTAGCACGAGAGCAAAATTATTCTGCAGAGAATTAGTCACACCATTTTCATATAATTTTTTCCTCATGTGGTTTTCACTTGTACCCCCACCACCAGACTGATATCTCAATAATGATTTCAGCATAGTTTCAAAAGGGTCCGCTGAAACAGAAAAATTGAGTATTTCTAAATGAACAATTAAAAGAATAGGAAGAAACTCCCCACTCTCAAAAAGGGGGAAAAAAAAGAAAGAAACCTCTCTAGCAACAGAATAAAGAGATCAAGGGAAGTAACTGCAGGTGAGAACACGGCAATTTTCTTTACAATTCCTTTAACTGTCTTTCCTGATAAGAAACAACACAAGAGACAATGGAAACTGGCAAGGATACAATATCTTGACTCAGAACTCCACTATTAAGTCATTAACATTTCCATCAATTTTCTCCTACATGACTATAATACCTTTCATTAACAGTAACAAAAAGAAACAAACAAAAAAGCTCTTTTCACTGATTTTAAAGCAAAATGAGTACATTTATGTGTGATCACTAATACAGTTAATATCACTCATCTGAATTCCAAAATTTCTTTTCTGTTCTTCCTTCACTCTTTGAATTCCTTTTACGATTATCTTGTTTCCACAAAAAAAGGTACATGTTGACTATAACAGTTTTAACAATACAAGAAAACATGAAGAAAGTAAAAACCATTCTAAACTTCAATACAGAGGTAGGTATTCATTGTTAACATTTTAGATTTAAAAATCTCATTTTTATTCGCATCTCGTTGATAATTAGGTTAAAAATCTTTTGTATATTAGCCGTTTGTATTTCTTGCCCTGTTTTTCGCCCATTTTTCTACAAGGGTGTTTCATTTTTGTTTTCTAGTTAGATTGTTGTGTGTGTGTGGATGGGTGTAATTAGTTATTTATATGTGGTAAATTATCTTTCCTATTTCTCTTTTAAACCTTTTCATGGTGCCTTTTTACTTTTCTGAAATGTAGTAATATTTACTACATGTCAAGGATATAAATTTTTCCTCAAGCACTGTGTGGCCAACATTTTCCCATTGCTCTTCTTTTTTTAAGGTGTTTTTTTGGTACTGAAAATGTTCATTTTTATGTAGATCAAGATCCATATTGTGCTTTATGGCTCCTGTGTCTGTGTCACGGTAAAAAAGGATTTGTTGTTGTTGTTGTTGTTATGTGCCGTCGAGTCGGCCCCGACTCATAGCGACCCCTCCTTGGGTTTCCGAGGCAGTATCACTACGGAAGTAGGATTGCCCAACCTTCCTTCCGAGGAGTGGCTGGTGGGTTTGAACCGCCAGCTGTCTGGTTAGCAGGCAAGTGTCTTAGCCACTATGCTATCTACCCCTAAATTGAAAATATTTAACTGTGTATCTATTACTTATTATTACTTTACACTTTAGTCATTTAGAATTTATTTAGATACAAAGAATAAGTCATGTTCAATATGTGTTCATGTTTAGTACATGTTTAATACAAAGCAATAAGGCTGTTCATGTACATTTACTCTTCCAGATGTACCATGGAACTATTTTTTTCAGTTTCCAAAAAATCCTATTGGAATTTCATTGTATAACCATATATTGAAGAAAAAAAATCATTTTACAGTATTTTGTCTTAAACGAGATAATGAATATAAAGACTTTAGCACAATGCTTGGCACATCATATAAAACGTTCAATAAGTTAGCTATTCCTATCTACCTCCACTTATCTGCGATGGCTTGTATGTTACTATGATGCTGGAAGCTATGCCACCAGTATCTCAAATACCAGCAGGGTCACTCATGGTGGACAAGTGTCAGCAGATCTTCCAGACTAAGACAGACTGGGAAGAAAGATCTGCCGAACAATTTATGAAATTAGCCAATGAAAATTTATAGTTCACAACAGAACATTCTTACTCATTTGCTTTGGACATGTCATCAGGAGGGCTCAATCACAAGAGGAGGATACCATGTTTGGTGACAGAGATGACCAATAAGGGAATGGGAGACCCTTAGTAAAACAGCTACAACAATGGACTCAAACATGCTGGTGATTTTGAGGGTGACACAAAACCAGGTAACATTTTATTGTTTTGCACAGAAGGCCACCAAGAGTCAAAGTTGACTCAACAGCAGCAAACAACTATATTCCAATCTAAGAACAATGTAGAGTTCTTCAATTATTACATATTTACTTTAAAGCAGTAAGGGAATAAGCTAATTAGAAAGAAAATTAAACTTACATGTCTTATTGGGGTTGATATGCTGCATCAGTACATCAACGGTGCCCAAACTAACCACAAGGTGCCTGCCAAACCAGAAAGAGACCACACACCCGTATCTCTCGTGCAGATTAACCAGGAACTCATGCAAACTTCCGCTGTTGACAATATCTGGAAGATTACCATCTCTGAGAAAAGATCATCATTTGACAAAAAAATTAATTTCACTTAGAAGAATCAGAAAACCAGTACTCAAACCAAAACCAAACTCACTGCCATCGAGTCAGATCCGACTCACAGCAACCCCTCCTTGGGTTTCCGAGGTGGTATCACTATAGAAGTAGATTGCCCAACCTGCCTTCCAAGGAACAGCTGGTGGGTTTGAACCACCAGCCTTCTGTTTAGCAGTCAAATGCCTTAGGCACTATGCCACCAGAGTTCCCAGAAAACCGATAGCTGACTCTTAACTAATTGTGTCAACAGATGACAGCAAAAGTACATGAAATTCAAATTACTGCAAAATCCAAAACTCAAGTATATCTAACTTCTCATTATGTTTCTGTAGTAACACAGATATGGATTTATCTGATATTTTGAAAATTCTTAACACTTAAAACCACGTAAGAAAGCTACACAAGGAATATTTGACTAAGAAACTGAAAAACTATCCAACTTTTGAAGCACCTCATTCTAAAACAGCAGTGGGCATAATAACCAAAAAACTCACTGCTGTCAAGTCTACCCTAAAGGACAGAGTAGAGTGCTCCATACGGTTTGCTTGGAAGAGACTGCCACATCTTTCTCCCACATAGCAGCTGGTGGGTTTGAATTCCTGACCTTTTGGTTAGCAGCTGAGCGCTTAATCACTGTGCCACTGAGTAAAAAAAAAACAAAAAACTACATCTGATTCAGAAACTGGAACACTATCCAACTTTTGTAGCACTTCATTCTAAGATATCATAGGCTGATGAAAATCATCAAATAAGCTATGGCAATTTTTTTCTTCATAACCTTTTATCTTAATTCTATTTTCTGCTTTCTCTGGGTAGAGAAAATGAAAGCAATTCAAAATTGATATACATGGTACTCCTTTCTGTTTTTAATAAAGTTTAGGTTGTATGCCCAGAGGTAAATGTAGAGTAAGTAAAGAAATTAAACAAACGGAGTAATCCAAATACATGGTTTGCGAAAATATGGTTTGGGATACTAAACAGGAATGGTTGACCCTACTTGATTCCAAAGAACCAGTTACTCACTTTTCTTCAGTTGGAGTAATCCCTGGAATCCCAGCAGATTGCCTGGATGCCTTAAGGGAAAAATTAAAAAGTTTACTATAATGAATCATTATATATATCCAATAAATCAAACATGTTTTCCCAAGATATCTGCAGGACCTTAAAAGATGGCTTTCCAATTCAGCTGATTCTAAATTATTTCTGTGTTAAAATACAAGTAATGACTTCTTTGTATAGAAAGAACTCTCTTCATATTCTTCGTTTGTATCCAGCTGAGGTGTTTGTAAAAATGTATATCCACTCTACATCAAGTAATATATAATTGAGCATATTTTTCTTTGTTCTGAGTCTAAATGTGCTCCCATCTGGCTTGGCTTGAAAAAACACTATCTATGCTTATAATAGTTTCATTCCTGAAAGTGTTAAGCTCTTTCTAGTAATAGAATTTACCAAAGTACCGTATGATTGTCACCTTCTGCGTTATTGCAAATTCATTATCAGTGCCAGATAGTTAGGTGTCTGGTATACAAATATATTTAAGAACACAGTAATTCATACAACTTTTAAAGGGACAACCCTTAAATAATGAACTGGGGAAAGTTTTAATCTTTCACAGCTCTGTACTGAGATTATAATTGATGGGTTTTGGAGACAATGTTATATTTCATTTTAAAATAGGCATTAATTACTTCTATAGTAATAAATTTTTACCAAATATTTTTTTTCTGTTTCCCTCCCCTAAGCTCTACCAAATAATTCTTAAACTAAATATAGAAAACAAAACAACCAAACTCATTGCTGTTGAGTTGGTTTTGACTCATAGTGACCGTTCCTTGGGTTTCTGAGGCAGTATCTTTACGAAAGTAGATCACCCAATCTTCTTTCCAAGGAATGGCTGATGGATTTGAACCACCAGCCTTCTGGTTAGCAGTCAAATGCCTTAAGCACTATGCCACCAGAGCTCCCAAACTAAATATAGA